GTCACATATGGCCGAGAGATAAGCCAGCGCTTAAAGTCCGCGTAGTGACTGCTGTTGGACTATTGTTTGGAGCTAAGGTTAATATGACTGGGTGTATAGTGTCTCTCTCTCTCTCTTTTTTACTTTTNTATTGTGTGTCTCAGTCTTGTTGTCTCAGCTCAATTTCATTTTTTAGTTGTTGAATGTGCAAGTTCCTTTTTTCTTCAAATATGCTGTGGATAGTTATAGCAAATTGCCTGATCTTGCTACAACAGAAGGAGCTTTAATCACAGGAGCAACAGCTTTATTGTTAGGATGTGAGTCTTAAAATGATAGCAGATTTTGCAAAAAATGACTAGGGGGAAATATTTATTATTATATTTTAAAAAATGATACATATACATGTTCTTATGTTGTGTAGCAAGTTTGAGCTGATTCTGATTGAAATTGGATTATTTACGAATTTTTAAAGTTGCTCCTAAATTGGGCCAAAATCCCTGTACTATAGTACAGAATTTTTGGTCAAAATTTTGCCAAGAAATGACTAGGAGAGAAATCTTCATTTTTATATTTTTTGATATGTATGCCCAAGATTATTTTAATAATCATCATGTTTCTACTAGATGGAGCTGCCAGAATTGGTGCTTCGTTATTCAATGAGCTACGGAATGCTGTATTTGCAAAGGTAGCACAGTCATCAATACGTCGTGTTGCAAGGAGGACATTCTTGCATCTTCATTCGCTTGATCTCAGCTACCATGTATCAAGACACACAGGAGCAATGTCTAGAGCTGTTGATAGAGGAACTAGGTTCGTCTCTCACTTCTTCCTCTCTCTCACTCACTCTCTTATCTCTCTCTTCTTCTTTCTATTTTTTCATTAGAGGTATCAATTTTATACTCTCTGCTCTTGTCTTCAATGTATTTCCTACTTTCTTCGAAGTTGGACTTGTTGCAGGAATACTGGTACCCTCCACTCTGTTAATCCTAATACTAATGATACTACTTGTAGACATATCGGTGTGGGCTCTCATATGGACTGTTAACAGTAGGGACTATTGGAGTGTACACACTCTACACGTTAGCCATGACACAATGGAGGTATAATTCCTACTCTGTTTTATTCATGATTGTATTATTATATTTTATTTTATTCATGATCATATTAGGACCAAGTTTCGTGTTCGAATGAACAATGCTGACAATGAATCTGGATCAAAAGCGATTGATTCTTTGATTAACTATGAAACTGTTAAGGTATAGTGCAGTGACTGCTACACTAAATATCATTATTTCTCCATTCATATTCATCTCTTGATTTATTCTTACTGTACAGTTGTTTAACAATGAAGCTTATGAAGCAGATGAATATGATAAAGTCCTTGCCAGGTATGAGGATGCTTCATTAAAGACGGTTACATCGCTGTCTGCATTGAATTTTGGGCAGAATGCTATCTTTGGCGTGTCACTGACTGCTGTAATGCTAATGGCCAGTCATGGAATACATCAGGTATGCGAAAAGGAATTAGTAATCGGATTTGAAGC